ATGGCGACAGTGACACTGTCGATCTGTTCTTCGCTTTCACTCATTTTGGGTGCTCACTTTATCCGATTTCCCCATAAAACCGATTCATTTTATCCGCTATTTTTTTTACTTAAACAAATGGCGTTTCAATTGGGACCACAGAATACTGTTTACTTTAACGGATTGTTCAAATAATTATAAAGTGTGTTCTCTTTAGGCGGACCCCACTGTATACATGTTGAAAGTAATTTTAGAATGAAGTAAAACACTTTAACTTTCTTTCTTTCACCGAGTTTAATTATTTTTACGAGAAAAAAACCCATTTAAACATGTATACAATTATTTGCAGGATGTTTAGCGTGTCTGGGAGATTTTGGTACGCTAATTTAAAAAATGGCCTACAATGACAATGTACATTTATGTACGCTATAAGTACTATAACGTGTGTCTTTGGGACCCGGCTGTCAGTTTTCCGACTGTCTTTGTTCGACACCACTCTCACGTCACACGTTGGCAGGACAACAAAAAACAAGCAAACGAACGATAGATCTATCTCTGCTACGTCTAGGCTGCTACATGTACTATGTTCCTGGCGACTGTGCGCCGCAAGCCGTGTGGGGCTGTTCCACCATGACCACAATCATTGCTGCGTCTTCTCTTAAGGGGAGTAGGCCTTGTTATCAGTTGAAACGACAGTTATCCATTTTCTCGGTGAAAAGAAAATAATACACAAGATGCTCATCTTCGTGGGGGGGGTTTAACCCCTTCTTTTTTGTTATTTTCAAAACCCAACAAGAAAAACAGTTACTCACGAATCCTTTCGTCTATTTTGATACACTGGTTCCGAATTCGATACTATTTTTTCGAAAGGACGTAGATTCCAATAGTTTATAAACGAGAATTCTATCTCCCTCAGCCGTAGACAGTCCAGCGGCCTGAAGCACAATAAGAAAAACTGACAGTAGTGACAGTGCCACATTTTTTGTTGCAGCCGAGCGACCGGACGCGGGGCCCGGCGGAGATACAATTTTTGAACCTCGCGTACATAAGCCCTACTTTTGCAGCAGATACGAAGCAACTCGTATCTGTTCAGGCTCATCTCAGGGTAAAAAAGTTTGATCTAATGAAAGATAAAACAGAGCTTATCTTCCACTTTCAGTGGGACCAATTAAATAATAATAAAATGTTCTTGGTATTCATCAATATGACCTGGACCCCACGTTATTATTATTACATGTATTATTATTATTATTATTTAAATCAAATAACACCTATTTTTTCTCTTTCTTTAAAGGTCTAGTTCTTTTATTGTGACTAGCCTTTATGATATTTTCCCACCACTGGCACTTCTTTTTAATAAAAAAAACCCAAATCAAAACAAAAACAGAAACAAACCCAAAAAAACGAGAATGTTGAAGAAGTAGGCTATATTTTCATCTTTTTATGCTTGTAAAAACCGAGTTTGGTGAAACCCGATGGTGCTCATTCCGAACTAAACCACTCACAACGCCACTTCTCCTTGTACAGACTGTGACTTCAGCATGTGTTTTAGTCGCAATCCGATGACTTTAAGAAGTGTTCGGAGTTGCTATGTTCCCTCCACTTCACTTATCTGATGCTCTGGTCGACCATGAAAAGGAGGGTTATGAGAGGGGGGGGGGGCGCACCACGTGACTTAAAATGTTTGTTGGTGGTGGGTTTTTTCCCCATCAACATTATTTAGATTGTTTAGGAGCCCGGCTTCGACCTTGTCTCTGGGTCAGCCCGGGCTGAAAGGGATACATCACCCCTGCAGAAAGACTGAGATACTTGAGAATTCTCACCACACGGGAGTCAAACTCAGGTCCTCTGTGCTAAACTACATTAAATACAGACGCCGGGCCACATAACTTGGTAATCAGCTCCCTCTGTTTCTCTCTGTTCTCTGAGTGCTTCATTGTGTCGCTAAGCTTTGGGATATACAGAACTAATAATACTGCATTGTGCTTTGTACTATACTATTTATTGGTATTAGTACCTGTACCTGTTTAGGCATACCTTTGTCCGTGGCATGAACAGGAAATTGTGTACCTTGCAAAACGCCATGGTGTGTTGCAAAGACACCGCGCACCCGAGAGAGAGACAGAGGGGTGGAATAAGTAAGTAAGCAAATAAAAGAAGAAATCGGCAAGACAGAAAGCGGTGTAGGTATGGTCGAATTGGGTAGAATAAAACAATCATAGAAAAGGACAACTGGTACAATAAAGTGTAGTTTACGGCGTCAGCTATTGTCGAAATTATTTCTAAGACGACCATACATTGTCGTCGAGAAAAGTGGACGGCTTATACAGGCTGGCATCTCACAGTGTCATTATAACTTTCTAAAGACGCAAAAGCGCGCGGGGGGGGGGGGGGGGGAGCTCATGTTGGCCGGCAATGAAAATAAAAGTGATACCGCGAGAAACAGCCGATTTGTGCGGGTGATGGAGCCGTTTGTAATGTTCTTGGGCACCATCTAAGAATAGAAAACCGTGGAAGCCTTCATACTTAATTCTCGGCAGTAACACCCAAAAGTTACCCAAAGGGAGGTGCAGCTATCTCGAGTTTCAACTTGGCGCTAGGAGGTTATTAATACATGTCGAAGAAGGTTCTGAGGCCCAAATTAGCCTGACGCTACCTAAAACTAAATCTGTCACGGGAAATCCATGCACTCAGCAATAGCCCTGAGCACGTATTGTTATGGTTTTGATGAAACTGGGAAAAGTACTATCTATTATTGTACACTTTTCAAAACCCAGTTATTGAAGACAGAGCGAAGGGAAAAAGGGGGGGGGGGAGCACGACGCCTTTGGCTCTCACTTAGCACTGCCCCTGCATAGGTTTGTGGTATACAAATAGCGTCAACTAGTACCAATGGTACATTCATAACGTCAACTAGTGCCATAGGTTTAGGGCATACAAATGACTTAAACATTATATCATTTTTAGCACATCAATGCATACTCAGCGGCAATAGAAACTGTCCAACTGGAAAGAAGCCTGCATTGTGGTTATTATTCAACATATAAAAATACAAATTGACACAGACATATTATTATTTCAAAGTATGTCAAGAAGTGTTTTACCTTTTGCTTCTTGATCAAGTCTCATATTGTGACGCAGTGTTAAGCACAAACTGGTACCCCTTAATTTCAAAAGTTCACGTCATTAGCGGGCAGTGTAGCCCTTTGAAATTATGCAAGCTTGGCATGTTCAGCGCATTGGTCGAGTCAGTTTTTTTGTTTCTTATTTTTATCAATTGTTGTGGCAGTCCATTTCACTCTTGAAACAAAGTTTATAATCCCAGTCGTTGCGCAATCTTAGTGTCGTTTTGGGAGCTACCTTTTAGGCCCAGTTAGTTCAAGCGTAATTATTGCAAAGATGGCAAACGTTGGTCATTACAGGGCCGACTTGCTCGATGTCCGATGTGTTTTAACGCCGTTGTATCCTTCTCTCGCTGATAACTCTTTTAGTGTTTGTATGAATTTGACGTGCAGAGCTAGCCGTTGTGAGAAAGTGATCTAAAAAATACCTGAGCAGTGTTTGTCTGTCTTCTTGGGCGGTATCGACCTGTGGTCTGCCTGGTCTGGGTCTGCCAAGTGTAACTCCAATGACTTGGAACCAATCTGTCAGGACATTGGTGGTAGGATGGGAGCAATGAAGCATTCGCGCCACTCTACGGGCCGATAGTACAGCTTGGAGTGTTCAAATGGTCCGACAGCGGTCCTCGGGGCTTAACCTTGGCATCTTAAGCAATTTAAGTCGAAAAAAGGAAGCTGGAATGTCTATGTAACTTTTTTTTCGGTTTTAAAATCGCTGATGTGTTGATCTAAACACTATTTAGACGATTTCATAATTTCGGCGAAACATAAGTCACAAAACATGTTAATTTGCATGTGGTCACGTGACCACGTGGTTTAAATTTTGTTCTGGAAAAAGATCAACGCGGAGTTATCGTTGAGTACATTCTGAATGATACGCACAATTTTGCTCACTTACTCAAGTGAACAAGTGCGCAGTTACAAAAAACTAAGTGGAAAGTTTCTATTGCCGCTCTGTATATTAACGGGAACACCCCGGAGGAGCCGACGCCATACTACCTTCCCGATGACACGGAGGAGCCAACAATCAGGAAAAGTTATATATTTTGGTACCAGCATTTTCTACTTTGTCCTAGACTACATAATGGTGAACTGCAAAACCACCAAACAGTGCTTTATACAAGGTTAGGGTTAGGAAAGTTAATGTTATTGTATTTTTGAAAACATCATTCGGTTTCTGAGCTTATAAGTTCACGAAATGTTGAGCTATTGACATCAGGCATTGATTCTAGTTGTGTCTATTTTATTTTTTTGGGGGGTTTCTTCGTGGTAGTCAAGGATCAGGGAAACACGTTCAAAGCGCCTTTTGCGTTGGCACCTCTGTAGTCTACGGGCGTATTTTGACGTCACTATTAATACTATTATCATGGATTGTAGAATACCAGTGACGTCTACTTAGACCATAGTTTTATACAAGTAACGTCAGCCAGTACCTTGATATTATTTCCAGCATACAATGACGTCAGCTAATGCCATAGATTACTGTAGGCCTATACCAATGACGCCATCGAGTGCCGTAGACTGTAGTATACCAGTGACGTCAACTACCACAGTTTCAGCTTATATTGACGCCAGTCAATACCACTGCTAATCGATCTACACATCGTCAGCAAATGTGCAAATGTAGGCCCACTAAGCCCAGAAAGAAAAATAATTTCAGTAGAGAAAGAAAAACAAAAACAAATGGTTATTTTTTTTTTTTTTTATTATACCTGCATTATGAATATCCCATCGCCAATTATTTGAGTGTCCACAAAATATTTCTTGAGCCCATAAAACTAAAAACTGATACACATGTTTAGAACCTGCATTATAAAAGGAAAAACAATTTGGGGGCCCAATACATTTGAACAACGGGCCGACGACATAAGACATAACAAAAAAGATCAAAATAAGAACAAATTAAAGGGGATAAAAAAATTTTAATCAATCTGTCGTAAGGTACCGGTCAAGTTCAGATTTAGATTTATCCTGTTATAGGTAGAAGATCTATAGTGTCCGGCTCACACCTGCCAACTTTGGCTACTGTGATTTTGTCGCCTTCTTTTTTCCTGCAGTTGGCCAAATCAAAGTAGCAGGGATTGTCGTAAGTCGTACCATCGGAGCCGCAAATCGGAGCATAGATCTCGATGCAAGCTGAGTCACATGATGGTTTTCCTTGGCCTGTTTGGAGAAAACGCGAATGATAGACAACGTTACTATCCGTGCGCAAATTGGTTTGTTTTAAAGATAGGCTTTAAATGTAATATGTGTGTCTCGACGCGGTGGAATCAAGCGCTCATCAAGTTATTTAGGTAGCCTTTACAGTGGAAACCTGTTATAATAGGGATGGTGGGAGTAGAGAAAAAGTCCTGTTATATCCGATCCGTGTTAAATCCAAAATGCAAGGAAAGTGAGCATTTGTGGACTAATCTATCTGTACTTATTCATGGGTAGTTTCCCTAGCCACAAGTACCCAA